AAAACGTTTTTTAAAAGTTATTTAAACAGCTCTCTGAAAGAAGAAAAAATTAAGAAAGAGAAAGGTAGTATAAATAAACGAGTAAATATATAGAGATTAACAGAGTTCATAATTAAATACTAATTGAAAAAATGACAATTCAACTTATTGTATCTCAAGTAGTAATGGCGTTATTAAACGTCAAAATGACGTAGTCGTTCATCATTGTGACGTTTAATGACATCAGTTTGCTATTTGGGATATGTATATTATATACAATATATTTCCAAATTATTATTTCTTAATTCACATAAATGATGAATATTTTAAATTAATTTAATAAATCTACAAATTATAATTTATATAATAAATCTACTTGCTAATTTAATGATAATTTAATTTAAAAAATATAAAATATTGAACTTAAATATATATAATTAAAAATTTATTTTAAAGAATTACATAATAAATATATTTTACCATAACATTTTTACCAAGAATAGCTCCAGCTTTCTTTATAAATTTTAAATGTTTTAATAATAAAGTCTCCAAGTCGATCGCGCCTACTAGCGTGTAAAGTAATCGTGCCGAAGTGAATTTTGTAGATTATCACCTACGGCACTACTACTTAACATGCAAATAAGCTGCAAAATTTTTTTATTTTTAATTTTTTAATTAATTTTTTTCATTAATTATATTTTATTAATGCAAACTGCATCAGTTTTATCAATTGATTTCTTTCAAATACTGAATGACTTTTTTATACAAAAAAATAAATAAATAAAGACTGTTTCCACAAATACACCATCTCAAAATCCCTTGTTATTGTTAACATATTCTAAAGAAAAATTTCAATATAAATATTACTATAGATATTATATAATATTTCAATAAATATTAATATAAGAAATAGGTAAAATGTGAACAAAATATTAAATAAAATATGTAAGCTATATAGCAAATATATGTATATATGCAGAGTGTCCCAAAAGTTTTGCAACAGTTAAATATTTCGAAAACAAAGGCTTTTTGTGAAAAATGTTTCAAATAAAATTGTAGGGCTTTAGAGCTACAAGAATGTGTAATCAAAAATAAGGATTTCCATTAAAAATTTTTTAAATAAATTTTACATGGCCTTAACAATAATGCTATTTATCGTCACATTAACATTAACATTGTTTAATGCGTTATTTAAAGCTACAACTTTTGTTTAAAACATTATTTTCTTCAAAAAGCTGTGTTATTTTCGAGATTTGATTGTTACAGAACTTTTAAAACATCCTATATATAAAGAGCAATGGAAATAATAAAAAAAATATATAAAATTAAAAAGAAATAAATATTAACGAACTAAATTTATTAAATTAAATTGGTAATATTTTTGATATATTAATATATCGATATATCGATAATTTTGTTGTATATAGAATTTTATAATTATTATATACAATATTTTTGTAAAATTATATTTTCAAGATCAAAAAGAGACGATGAGGATTGAATAAATATATAAATAAAATAAAATTATTTTATATTTCTTCTCTATATGTATTTTTGTCATTAAACGATCCAAAATAAATTATCTTGAAATAGAAAAATATAAATTTATGTATATATGTATTATATATAGTATATATATATATATATATATATATGAAATATATAAAATTATATATGTATATGTATTATAATATAAATATTTATATGTATATGTTATATTATATTATAATTATAAACATTCATTACTAATGCATATTTGTAGAAAATATATTAAGACTTGAATCAATTTTAATCAGATTCGTTTTCTTTCTTTTTATGTGCTTGTATATATGTAGTTGTATTTAGCGGACATAAAAGAGATAGTTAAATTTGTGAACGTACTAACGAGCATTTAAATCATCATTCGCCCATTATTACGGTCACAAATTAAAATATCCTTATTGCAATTTCCATGATATTTGATGTTTTGCTTCTTACAAATCTGAAAAAAGATTAATTTAATTAATACTAATAATAAATCAATAAAAAATTCTATGTATAAAAATAAATATCTGGTACTTAGAATAGCTTGTAAATTAATGTATTAAATTATTTATTAATTTATTTAAAAATAAAGAATGTGATAAAATTTCATTTAACGTGACAATAAAAATAAATAAGGCATAAGGTTACATAATTTTTTTATCTTCTTTTTTTAGCATAAGGATTATAAGTATTGTGCCCTTATATTCAGAGACACTTCGAAATGTGCTATAATTGTATGCTGCCATAGCTTTCCCATGCGGGCTTATTTTACCTCAATGAAACGATTATTACTACACAAAGTACCAATTATTCCTTCCTAATAGCGTCTTCTTTCTACTTATCCTTTTTTATTCAAGTGTATGAATTTATGCACTCGAATCTTATATGCAAAATATCAATATATATTAAGAAATGATCAAAGATAAAGTTTAAAAAATAAAAATATCTCTGATTTTCCTCAAAGAATGAAACATGTATTTAATAAAAAAAATATATATATATTAAAAATACTTACGCGTAGAAAATTTATAAAAAAATTGTAAGCTTTCTCCTTCTCCCATCCAACCCTTTCAATCTTATTCACTTATTCACACCATAACTAAACGATTCATTTTGACACGTAGGACGACGATGTGCTGATATCGATATGTGGCAGCGGTTTCAGACGGAATGCCACGGGAAATTTCAGACAAATTACGCATGCACAGGTGTTTCTTAAGATATTGCGTGTATCTGCTGCCACATATGTCTGTCTGTCATTTCTATCTTTGATATCATCTCTATCTCTCTTCAACATTCCTCAATATATAGCAGAATTTGAATAATCTTTCAATTATGAAATTTTTTAGTTTTGCATATTATTTTTGCAAAAAATAAATATATATATATTATATACTCAAGGTTGGGTAATAACTAATTAATAAGTTAAAAGTAAAAAAAGTTAAAAAGTTAATAACTTTTAACTTACAGCTTATAGTTAATTTAAAATGTATTAATTTTTAACTCCAACTAGTTATTTTTAATCTTAAACTTATTAACTTTTTTCCTATAATAAGTTAAATTTTTTTTTATCTCTGAACCATTATTGTTTTTTAAATAAATTATATTATTTTTAAGATAAAGTATTATTAATTTTTATGTTTATTTTGTCATTAATTGTAATTACCAAAAAATGTATTTCTATATAAAAATGAAAATTTCTTTGTTATTTGTTATTATAAATTTGTAAAAAATTAATAAACAAAATTCTAATGTAATATAAATGTTTTTAAAAATTAACTTTAATTTAACTTTAGGTAATTTAATCTTAACTTTAACTGTGAGTTAATTTTTTGTTTATGCAACTTTTAACTTAACTACAAATTAATTTTATAAGCAACTTTAACTTTAACTTAACTTCATATAGTTTTAAAAAAATCATTTTATGTCAAAATTTTTTTATTATTTGTGATTATAAATTTTAAAATAATTAATAAACAAAATTTTAATTTAATATAAATGTTTTTAAAAATTAACTTCAGAGATATTTTAATCTTATAACTTTAACTTTAACTACGAGTTCATTTTTTGTTTATGCAACTTTTTAACTTAACTAAGTTAATTTTATAAGCAACTATAACTTTAACTTAACTAATTAGTTTTAAAAAATCATTAACTTATCCAACCCTATATTAAAAATTATACCTAAAAATTATATCCTGAAATATATCTTATTATATTTTATATATCCTAAAAATTATAGTACATTTCCAAACCGCTGAAACTCGATCGAAAAATCGTCATAAAAATGAAACATTAAAAATTAAAAATGCATGTTGAAGCTTGAATAAGTTTCAACTTTAACGCAAAGTTATAAGTTAAAAGTTATAAACTTTTTAACTAATTAACTATATAGTTTATTACCCAACTCTGCGAAAAATTATGTTTGTAGAAAAAAAGAGTTTCGACAAAACTCAAAATCGAAGTTCGACAATGTAATCGCTTGCCAAGAGCGAAATTCACACAGGAGCAAATATTATTAAATTGGATAGAATGCGATGCGTGGGCCCAGGCCGGATACTCGCCGAATGAATCTCATCCCAAGAGAGAGGAAGTCTGAATTAAGTCGAGAGTAGCCACTGTCAAGGGGCTACAACCAAGTTCTCCCTGATATATCCCATATACAATATATGAACTTATCGCGACCCCGTTCATCTCTTAATTGATCGATCATATCCCAGCAGGTCATTATAGTAAAAATATACTATATAATATTGCGTATCAAGTAGTTGTGAGATAAAAAAATAATAAAAGACGAAAGATTAAATCGATAATACAAAAACAAAAAGTATAATAAAAGTATAATTAGAATAATAAAAATAAATCTGGAATTAAAATGAGAGGATAAACGAAAAACATATAAATAAAAATATAGAAAAATATATATATTAATATTTTTATTTATTTTAAAATTAATTAAAAAAATATATATCTAAAATACAAATTTCTTGAAAAAAAAAGTTTTAAAAAGGCAAAGAAGTGAGATCAGCGGAAAAGTTCGAAAGTACAGAATGTGGCGAAGAAGAATTAAGACTTATTAAAATCGTTTGACCCTGTGCTGCTTCTTACACCGTGCACTAAACCTTAATAGCTTTATGTTTGCAGCAAGATAAGGTGGGGATTACAGAAAAAAATAGCAAACCGACTTCACAATACAATGGAAAATGATGAATGAAAACAGAAACATAGAGTATAAAATTGAAATTCTTATTGCGATAAAATTTAAGCTTTAATTATGTAAAATTAATGCAAAAGAGAAATATATACTTTATAAAGATGTGTATTAATTTTACATATTTATATTAATTACATTAATTTTAAATATATACACATTTAATTATTATTATTATTATGTATATAATTATTTATTTATTATAAATATTCATATTCTATATAAATTGTTAATATCATATTTTTATATTTATTTAAATAATGAATATCGTATTTATATATTTATAAATTTTATATATCTATATATATGTTATTATTTACGACATTATAATGTAATTCAGCCCCTTTCACAAATAATATCCACCACGCTGGGCTCCATCAAAACTGGTTCCAGACATCTGTGCACTGCGCTACCCAGAATTTCATCCAACAGAAAATGAACCACGCTACAAAAAAATAAAATATTAGCATAAATATAAAACCATTTTTTTTACTTATTCTGCCAAAGAAATAGATGTAAAAAAATTTACTTTTCATCCGACACGAATCTCCACAGATAAAGCTGCAGATAATGAGTGTCCACCTGGATTTGTTGCAAGCCATATTTGCTGAACGTTCGCAATCTCACGCATTCCAAGAAAGTCTATATGTACAGAGAAGAAAGATATATTTTATTAGCAAACAAATATACTAACGTTTCATTATAAAAATTGTCATTAGACAGAATAATTGTTAGATTAGAATTTTTTTGTTGTAATCAGCGGCAAAATCATAAAACATATATACTGCGTATTATTAGTGAACAATGGCAAAGTTGAAAAGATGAATCAACTTTACAAATTGGATAATAGCTCTGCTATTTTATCATTGTGACCACTCTGCACCTGAGCGCGCGCGCGATCATGCCATAGTACATTACTTGCTAAAAGTATTAATCCAGAAGAATTTTTTATCATTCTATATAATAAAAAAATTATTTAATACGTAAAAAATAAGGAAATATTTCTAAGTAATTAATAAGTAATTAAAAAATAATAAATATTAAATAATTTAATTAATTAAAATATTAAAATAAATAATAATATATTATCATTAATATTACTTTTAAGCTTATTTTGATGATTCCTGTTAGAATAGACGCCTTGTTGAATTGCACGGACGAAAAAATCTCGATCCGTTCAGAGAATAATTTATGAATATTCGATACCAGAGAAGAATCGATGTGACTGGGTGTATAGGACGACCAGTTTGATCTGTAGTGATGTCTGGAGACACTAATGCTAAAAAAAAGAAACCTGGATTATTTATCTCAAATCTAAAAGTATAATGTTTACGAAATAATACATTCGAAAAATCTAAAAAAATATTTCAAAATTCAAATATATGTATGTTTGTCATTGCATTGCATAACATTTCGTTTCTTTACAGGATATCCCATTTTCATCAATCATCTCCATAAACCTTTTTATTTTTAGTTATACAACAAAAATAAAACGCTTCAAACAAAAAAGTTGTTTGATTTAAAGGGGGACAGAAGATTATGGACTCTTTTCTAAAGGACACTTTTCAAGGTCATTTAAAGGTCATTTACATTCTTTAAATGGAACAATCTTTTTTTTTTTTTTTTTTTAAGTAAACTAATTTCTTGCAATTTTATAAAAAGTTATAAGGATAAGACGGCCAAAAATGAATAGTTTAAAAGATATTTTATACTTGGTTTAATTTAAAAAACATAAATGACCTTTAAATGACCTTGAAAAGCGTCCTTTTAAAAGTCAGTAGGATCATTTTCTGTCCCCTTAAAATCAAGCAACTTTTGTTTGAAACATTTTGTTATACAATAAAAAATGAAAAGTTTTTGAGAGTGATCGATTAAAATAGGATATCCTATATATATGTATATCCATCATCAAATATAATTTACAAAAAAAATAAGATATATTTAATAGAACAAGAGGTTCAATTTCTTTTTTTACCTATGAGTCTTCCTACTGCTGTCGCTACTTCTATCTATTTGACCATCATTGTCATCGTATAGAGCAGCAACTTGGGAATCAATAGCTGTTACATCTTCGACGACTCTTTTCATCACGGCCCTCACGGTTCTAGGTTCAATTGTGTGCAACCAATCCCTGGTTTCTACGGATTTCCTCAACATTTGAGAAACCGCCAGTCCTTGAATTCGCACATAATGATTCAGGAGATTCTGAGCAGCTTCCTGAAAGTGATTGCACATTTCTGACCCGGAAGTTATGTTTTCTGAAGTCGCATATTGATCAATACTGAAACGCTCGTCGGTGGTCATCAGCTGTAAAATATAATAACATACTTATTTTACATATTATTTATTTTATTTATATATTTTAATTTTAATATTAGTATATATTTATATCATTATAGTACACGGTGTCCCATAGAAAATTGCTGAAACTAATCATCTATCATTTATAAATGTTTGTATACCAGTTTATTTTATTGAAAAAAAGTAATGTAAAAAATGTTAATAATCACATATGTAAGCTATGATAAACATTTTCGAAATGTGCATTATTTGAATTTGTGTAAAATTCTGTTCTTTTACGAAAACTCGTAAAAACTTTTTCTAACATGTCGTTTTTAATGTTATTGACGATCCTTTTAATAGCTGCTATTAAATCTGGCACCGTTAAAAATATTTATCATTAGTTATTTATGTGATTTTGTGATTATTAGCACTTTTTTCATTACTTTGTATCAATAAAATAAACTGGTATACCAATATTTTATTTATATATCCATTAAAAATTGTAAACTTTCCTCTTTTTAACACAATTTTTGTTTTCTTAGTAACTGCATGTATTAAAAATAACAGCTGATTAGTTTCAGCAATTTCTTATGGCACATTCTGTATATGTATAGTTAACTACAATATTTCTTGAAATATACCAGATAGCGAACGTTGTTTTCTTTATAGTCGATGCACATTTTGCTAAGCAAAAGTAATAAGGTCGGTGGAAATTTTGGAACATCAGATCCATTGCAGAATCCAGCTGCTGTAGCTGTGAGATGATGTAAAAAGCCGATCACTAATCCTTCTCTCACTTCATCCACACAAAAACTTTCCAGAAACTGGGTCTTTAAACTGAACGACAAATCCAGTTGTAAAAATACCTAAAAGAACAATTGTAATTAATTTAAGTATTTTTATTATCCACATTTATTATTATTTATATATTATTAGATTAGTCGCAAAAATTGAAAAAATATTTAAAAAATATAATTGTCAAAGAAAGAATTATATTAAAAATTAAATTAAGATTGAATGAAAAATATATTTAAGAATTTGAACTAAAAAATTAAGTTGAAGATAAATTAAATATATAATATAAAAATTATATTATATATATTTATAATTTTAATATATAATATAGAAATTCTAAAGAGCTGAATAAATAAAGGTAGAGAGGAGAAAGATACAAACCGATAAATCCTGCAGAACTCCCTTAATTTTTTCAATGATAGGCATGGTGAGCATTGCTTGAAGTTCCGCTAAGTTCCCATCACTATTCTGTGTAAGTTTAGTAGCTAATGTCTGCCTCACTTTTGCTAAAGTCTCGCTCAAGTGTTGTTTCAGACTGTGTAAATGATTGCGACATTGCTTTCGGCCAGCATTCATAACAATATCGGTCCCAATTCTGCAAAATAATTGGTTTAATTAATTTTACTACTTTTCACTTTATCATATTACACACATACACTTATTGGTTCGTATATATGTTGCAGATTTTATGGAAATTATTTATAAATTATTCTAATTTTTATAAAATTATCTCATAAAAAACATTCCGTACTTTATAAAATAGCAAAATTTTTTTGTAAATACTAACTTTATAAAAATATTGTAAAAATATACTTTATACATATATGTATATACATATATACACACTATTAACAAATTTCTTATTTATTTATCATTTAATTCATATTTTAAATTTGATAATTTAAACTTTAAAGAATCATATATATATATATACAATTGTTATTATTATATATGCTCTTTCTACACATATTACTTGTAAAATATTATTTTGATGTATTCTACTCTACTTTTTAAAATATATTTTCTGTTCCATATTTCTTATTTACACATTTTATTCCAAAAATTGCTTTTAATTTATTTCAATATATTTTCCTTATTCTTTATCACCTGGCAAAGTCCTTTTCCTTGCATGATATATTCATCGCCTGCAGCCTGCGATGAAATCTGTCAAGAGCTCTCACCAAAAGTGCTGTATCGCTGACATCTTCTACTCGTTTGCCCACTAGGTCAAAATATTTCTTCATATTGCTCACAATAAACTTATTCAAATGATTCGTAGCTTTAGTTTCAAAATCATCAACCAAATCATTATCGTCCAGTAATCGATTTATGAACATATCGTTATAGGAGGCCACAATCAGACACAAATCACTAAGAAATCCCGAAGAAGCCATGTCCATAAACTCTATAATGTCGTTTTCGCACATATCCTTCAGGATTTCTAATTGCTCTGTTAATCTTCCTTCTGTGTGCGTCAAAAATTCAACGCATAAAGAATCAGCTGGCTCTTTTAACTGTAATAAAAGCTCAACATTTTCGGCTAAAGCCTTAATGGAGGTGTCTCTCTTCTGAAATTGTAATCTGAGTTTGGATTTTAGTTCCTCTAAAATGTCTTCGCAATCTTTCTGAATGCCTCGGAAGGATGGCATATTACTATATTGATGTAAAACTCTTTGTGCATGAACGTAATCCTTAACTGCCTGAAAATAAGTCATTTATTTAAAAATTGATAGGATATTTATTTAAAATTGATATTCATTTAAAAATTGATTGGAAGAGATTATATTATTATATCTTATTAGAATATAAATAATTTTTACATAAATGCATACTTGTTTATAATTTTCTTCATTTATTCTATCCTTGAGATTACCAGGCAGTTTAAACAGAAACTGCAATTTCTTTAACAGAGTATGGACAGAAGATAACTTAGCAATTTGTTGTCTCGTTCCATGTAAAGTTGAAGAGATTTGCTCTGAGAAAGAAGTGATGCTGTCCATATTTGTTGCCAAAAGATCCATGCTATCCTCCATTTCCTTAAAGTCTGCTTTCATCTAAAAAAAAAAGTTTTTAATTAAAATAATATTCAAAATTAAAAATATATTTAATAATATTTTTAAATATAAGCTTACCTTACGAATAGTATCGGTAGCAGATATGAATTTATTATAATTTTCATATACCAAAGTCTGCATATCTGAATGTAAAATCTGGGTATTTTTTATAATCTCAGCTTCGTGATCCATAATTTGCTTCAGTGTACATTCCTATATAATAATTATAATATAGAAAAATGTAAATAATATGTATTGTTTTGTCTTGTCTGCGTAAAATATAATTACTTACAGCAAAAGCTTTTTTTGTAATAAGAAAATAAAAAAATATTTGATTTAAATAATTCTTAATTTAAATTACAATTATATTTAATTTGTATCTTAATTATATTATAAACGATTAGTTTTGAATTTATTAATTTTTACTTTATTCTTTCAAATATTTATTGAAATTAACTCACCTTTAATAGCTTTTGAAAATACATATCAGCATTGAAATTTTGTCCATTAATATCATATGGATTATTTGCGCTCTCTGCCATTTTTTTAAATATTTCTCTTCAGGAAACGATATAAGAAAGTTTATTTAATTCTTGACTCGTCTTTAATTGCTAATTTTTATTGGATATTTGCTAATAAAACAATCAATATAAATAAGTTATTATAATATTTAATAAAGGAATTAAAGAGCTACTTTATAAATAAGCAGGGTTGGGTAAGTTAATTATTATTTAAAACTAATAATAAGTTATGTTAAAGTTAGTTGCTTATAAAATTAATTTAGTTAAATTAAAAGTTGCATAAATAAAAAATTAACTCAGTTAAATTAAATTAACTAAAGTTAAATAAAAAATCATTTTTAAAAACTACTTATATAAAATTAGAATTTTGGTTGTTAATTATTTTAAAATTTATAACAAAAAAAATTTGATTTTTATATAGAAATATATTTTTTGGTAATTACAATTGATGACAAATAAATATAAAAATTAATAATACTTTAAAAATAATATGTTTATAACTTATAAAAAACCAATAATAGTATTCAAAGAAAAAAATATTTAATTTAAAAAGTTAAGTTTAAGATAAAAAATAACTAGTTGAAGTTAAAAATTAGTATCTTTTACATTAACTAATAAAATATGTCAAAAGTTATTAACATTTTAAGTAATGCATAAAACTTTCTTAACCTATATATTAAAAAATACAATTATGTATAAATTATATATGTATATAATTATTATATGTATGTAATTGTATGTGTATAATTATTATGTATATAATTATATTTTTTCTATTATGAAACTCTGTTATGAGAAATGTTTTGATGTAACTCTTTAAACAAATCTAACAATTTTGTTGCTAAAAAAAGTGCACATTTGTTCTTTGAACGAGAATATTAATTTTTCCACTTACAATTCTCATTATATTATTTCCCTTTATTTTGACATGACAATTATTGTTGACAATTGTCAATAAAATGTCAATTCTGCTGTCAAGTTGTCCACTGATATTTGGGATTTTGAGGTTAGGAATGCTGAGGAAAACAACATAACCCCATTTTTCGTTGCAACAAGTACTTTCACAACTCCCGAATAAACTCAACAATTTCCAAGTTTTTTCGTGAAATTCCAGTGAAATACAATTTTCAAGTGCTTTTCAAGATCATTCGGAGTAGTTTAAAATTTACGTGGTAAAATTAAGTTACTTTCTCGTCCAGAAGTGCTTTAAAAGTGTGACGAAGCGATCCGACAGGAATTACACCGAAATAATAATAAACACATATTTTATAAAATTGTAAGAAAAATAATATAATTGATTTTAAATTTATAATCTAACTTATTTCTATTATTATCATTCTATCAATAAATTTTATTAAATTTTTTTTGCAACTTAACCTCTTCCAGTAAACAAGAAGATAAAATAAAATTTATTTTAAATAATATATATATAAATATATAAGTAATAAAATTTCTTTTTTCCATCTTCTATTAATTGTTAATAAATCTAATTTAGTTTAATTAGTTGTTAATATCTTTTTCACATATTTTTAATGTATCTTTAATTTTTTTTCAGCTGTATTAAAGGAGATTCCGCAAGGACAATGTAGATATATGAAATATATTCTTGTAAAAATTTCTAAATTTATGAATTGATTGTTGCGTTAAACTCTACCGTGAAGAGAAAAGACTCAAAAACAGCTTGATCTTGGAAAAATCACAATTTCAATGTGAACTATGAAAAGGAAGAATTTAAAAATCTCTTGTCATTCAAAGATTATAATTTCAATCATGAATTATGAAGAGGAAGGATGCGACAGATGCAATTTCAAGCTTAAATTATGAGAAGCGGACGTTCAAAAGCTACAGTTTTGACAGTTATAATTTTGACTTTAAATTGTTAACAAGAATTTTTATATGTATATTTCTATTTTGAAAGGTACAGTATCAACCGCAACAAATTATGGAAGTCAAAACTTGCTTACTACAACTAATTTAATTATGAAGAGGAAGAAGAATACACGTCACAGCATCTCTCTTAGGCTAAAACTACGAGAATGAAGGATACAGGACTATTTGACCCCTTCGAAATGTACATCTTTACTTTTGAATTATGAAGCTATAGGTTTTCTACGATAGCACAAATATACTACATCTTTGGTTAAAACTATGAGGATAAAGGATACAAAGACTATTTGACCTTCAAAATGTATATCTTTAATTTTGAATCATGAAGCTATAGATTCTCTTTATTTTTGAGAGTTACGATATCACAAATATGCCACATCCTTGCGTCGTTTGCGGCCGTTCACGCATGAACCCCAACAATCGCGAAGAGGAGTACATGTTCTTCGGCTTTCCAGTGAACGACGAGACCCGGTGTCGCTACTGGCTGGAGTTCTGCGGCCGCGAGGACCTTTACAAGCTCACGAAAAAGCAGCTTCTTCAGCGTATGGTCTGCTCCAAGCATTTCCAGCCCCAAGACTTCCTCAACGAATACCTGGACCGCTTAAATCCAACCGCGGTACCATCAGTTTACGACCCTAAGCAGAGCTTGTACAACATCCAGTGCGTTCTTTGCGGAAGAACGCGAAGGGATCCACCTGCCGCGGATTACGACGGAACGACCTTCCACCATTTTCCTGGAGAAGAGTTCCGCTGCCTTAAGTGGCTGGATTTCGTCGGCGTGGACTCCTATTACAGACTGACCAGGAAGGAGATCCTCTTCTGCTACATCTGTTCCAAGCATTTCGATCTTTCCCAGTTCGTTTCGGGGTTCAAGGGAAGATTGAGGGAGAATGCTATTCCTCAGTTTCGCGATGCGGACCAACCGGACCGATCAGAGTCGTCCGTCGACGACTCGCAGGCCGAGTTGAAGCTCTTCAACTTCCCGGACAAGTGCAAGAAGTCGGAACCGCTGCCCACTGAAGTGTTGGAGAGCCAGGCTTGCGCGGCTTGCGGTCGCATGAGGTCCGATCCGAGGAATAAACTCGAACACTACAAGTTTCATCCTTTCCCGGCGTACGAGATAGGCCGCTGTTTGCGCTGGTGCCAGTTTTTGGGCCGCGAGGACCTGCTCAAGATGTCCCCCAATCAGATACGCAAGCTCGTGCTCTGCTCCAAGCACTTTCAGGCTAAGCAGAGCTTCCACAAGGTCGGTCCGTGCGACGCGGTGCCCACGATCAAGGACGTCTCGGAATGTGAGGACGTCTTCGAGCAAAACGAGGATGAGCAGTACCTCGGGGAGGACAACAAGGATCCCTCCAAGGTCCTCAACAAGCGCCAGCAGGCCTCCAGACCACTGGTCTCCAGCAAGAAGCCCAAGGTGGCCAACAAACCGACGCCGCTGGCGAAGAAACGGGGAAAATCTCGAAGACCGACCTCTATCAACATTCCCAGACTTGATCCTAACAGTGTGGAGAACCAAATGAGCAAGAAACTGCCTCTCCCGCCTACAACCAACTGGAAGATCCAGTTAGGGGATCAGTTTCAACCGATCACGATCAACAATGTCGTTTCCAATAACGTTGCGGGTAATCTTCAGGGAGGAATAAAGAAGATTATAGTGCCGTTTGCGGGGGATATCTCGACCCTTGGTGCTCCAATACCAGTTCACAGCTTGTCGAGCATCCCTCCGGGTCTGCTGATCAAGATCAATCTGCCAGAGCAGGAACAACAGCAGGAAGAGCTTCAGAAAGCTCAGAAGAAACAAGGCAAGGCGAAAAGCTTGACGAGTAGTTCGAGTGGACAGCAGCAACAAATTTGGGGGAAAAAGAACAATCAAAGCTCTAGTGTCTTGCAAAAAAAGAAGCAAAGCATGGATAAAAGTTTAATGGATATTCTGTCGATGTCCGCAGAATCTACTGGAGAGATTTTAGATGCTAATAAAGAAGAAGAAGAAGAAGTAGACGAAGGGATACTTCTTCCGCATTTGAAGATTTTTGAGAACCAAGATGGAGTGCTGGTTAGTAAAGTTGGACAGAATATATTCCCCACGTAGTAGATTGACGTCATTAAACGTCAAAATCTTATCTTTATAACTTTTTATGTTAAAAAATTACGAGGAATTGATTTATTTATTTAACAAAAGAATTATAATTTTATAAAAAAAAAAAAAAAAACAAATGATTTTTAAATGACCTTAAAAAATTCTATTCAGAAAAATTAGCTGGACTTTTATCCTCCTTAAAAAACAATTTCTGTTTGGAACATTTTTGTTCAATCAAAAATAAAAAAGTTTTTGGAGATGATCGATTAAAATTGAACATCCGGTATATATATATATATATATATATAATTATTTGTGGATAAAAGAAAATAAGTATCAAAGTTAATTACAGAATAACTAATTCTGAATAATATATAACTTTTAATATTGCAGGTAAAAAAGGAACAGTATTTTGAAGAATTGGAGGACTTGAACAAAGATATGACGAAGAAGAATCTGACAAGGAAAAAGGCAAAACGACTGAGGAAAATGACAGGAACCATGAGAAGGACTATGTTTCCCATCAGAAGTGAGATTAGACATGTCTTCAGAAAAATAGCGCCACTAGTGCGTCGATTACCGACCCGGGCCAGAGCGACGTTAAAACTGTCAATTGTCAATATGGTGATTGATCAACTGTGAAGCTGTAAAATGTATATTATGCAGGGAGTCCTATAAGAAATTGCTAAAACTAATCAGCTGTCATTTTTTTTTTTTTTAAACAGTCTTTGCAGAATAAATCTGTAATTAGCGGTTTCTGTTTTCAACTCATTTTTTTACTTATACTTTATATGTAAATATTACATCATATATAAATTATATATAAATGTACGAATTGCATGGAGTCACATAGAATTAGGATTATGTAAATATATAATAGGGAAAAATAACATAAGAGAATTCTAGTTTGTTATATAAGTCTACAACTGAATTAGTGAAAAACAGAATAGAAGATTTTTTTTGCTAAATATTATTTACTATATTATTCGAAATTGTTTAATTGGACATTTAGTTTTCTAAAATATTAATGTTTATTGAAAAATTTTTATTTATTTTTATAATTTATGATAATTTATAGTAACTATTATATTGATGACTTATAGTTTTATTAATCTTTTTGGATGTTCAACAAATTTTTATTTTGATAATTCTGGAGCATGCAAAATATCAAAAAGGAAAAACTGAATTTATACTTTAGAGTTAATATTTTACATAACTTCCAACAAATGTCAATTTATAATCTCTATTTACAAAAAGAAAATATTTAATTTTTTATAAAAAAAAATGAATTTGCAATGCTTAATTTAAAAAAAATATTGAAATAGGTTAAAAAAAAAAGAAAAAAGTTAATAGAAAAATATCCTCTTCTGGATATATGTTTAGCCTGGATTATTTGATCAATTCTTTGAAATTCGAAATAAATTATGTATTTCAAAAGTGTAGAATTATATCAATGCTGGAAGAAACAGAGAAATAGCGAGAGAAAGAAAGAGAGAATTACTTCTTTGTAAAAAAAGCATTTTTTGTATTGATAAATATATATATATATATATATATAAGTACCTAGTGCTCAAAGAAAATTAAAGAATCATGCATATGTTTTATGAAAATTAGCAATAACGATTCTTTGTCTCTTCTTATTGTTAATCTCATTATACAGGATATATCTCATTTTATTTTTGATAGTTGAATATCTTGATATCATGTAATCATAGAAAAAAATGTTTCAAATAACAATTCTATGGTCAACTTATAATTTTTTATGCAACATATATATTGTGAAGAATTTATATATTTGACTGTCAAAAATAAAATGAGACACCATTGTGTATATTTATTACTCACATTGTCAAAAATTTAGAACACATAACATTATACTTTATATAGGAAGAATAAAATTGTTGGAAGAAATATATGTAAAATAATAAAAATAAGACATTAATACTTTATATATACTAAAGCATAAAATTGTTACTTTATGAATAGAAATGAATCCTTTTCTTTATAAATCTTAGCATTTAAATTATTTAAAAAAAATGTATGTTATTTTATATAATGTAAAATTATTGCTTTTAAACATGATGACAAAAGGTACAGGACGAGTAACTTATTTGAGTTAAATTTTGTGCTTATTTAGAAAATACTCTATGTATAAATATAAAATATTTTAAATATTTTTAAATTTTCGCGTTATGGCTTGTGATTGGTCAATTTCTTAAGGCTTAGGGCTTAAATCGCCTATTGTGGACGGGGCTTAATGTGTATTTCGCGGACAGTCGACGATGTTTCGAAAGAGAGTGTTCCACAAAATTCAAATATCAATAGTTTTTATTTTTATACTTAATTAACACTGCGGACACAAATTAAATTATATTCAACATGTGGTGTCTTAAATCAAATGAAGGTAAATTTGTGGTTGGGAATAAAAAATATATTTTTAAATTTTCTGTATTTTGATAGGTTATATTTTATATATTTTATTGAAATCTACATTTTTTAATTAATATTTATTTATTTTTATTATTATTTTACTTTTATTTAATAATTATTAATTAAGTTTCTATTCTTAAAACTGAAGAAACAAGCAAATATGTATGTATATAATGAATCAAATAATAAACATAAATTTTTTAGTTTTGTAAAGGATAATTAAATGATAAATTAATTAAAATTTTAATATATATATATATATATATGTGTGTGTGTGTGTGCAATTTGAAAGATTCTAACTCTGTTTTTTTTTTTACAATTTTATAATGATTTATCTTATAATGAGTCATCTTTATAATGAGTCATCTTATAATGATTATTGCAATGCATTTATCAATTAATAACAATGTTGAAACATGATAATTTATTTTCACAGGTCTTTGCATCTACATCTTGCCAAATCAGAAGAAATCTTTTGGCAAATCACAGAGTGACATCAAATTGGTGAGAGATGCCGCAATTAGTGAACTCCATGCAGTGATTTCTGTGGAATCGAATTCTGTGGAACCTGGAGTAAATCTATTCTTATGAATAATCCGCTTCAATTTCTATTTTTTTAGAAAAATATCATTATTGAGGTTGCGTTCCAAAATATTCACTATCAAATTACCATAAATCTGTAGCTCACATTACATATATTATAAATTCCAGTATTCCTGAATTTTGTAATATAGCCTAAAAATGTTACATTTTTTTAGACACAATATAATTGCGTTATTAGCAATGTATCAAAAAATGGAACAGTTGTTGCAAGAGATAAGGAGAAGAAAAAACTATCTGGAAATGACAAATTTACTTTGAGACCTGGTGATGTAGTGCAATTTGGCCAGAAGTATACTTTTGTGTAAGAGTTGTAAAACAGTATTTCTTTATATGATTTTTTATTTACGTTTATAAACTTTTATGTATGTTCTTTTTTTATAACAAATTATATACACATGTACAATTTGTTGTATGCAATAAGTTAAGCAGTTATTACATAATATTTAAAACTATACTTAATTTTTCTTTATAATATATATTTATTTTTTATTTAATAATTTATAATATAATATTTGTTTTTAATCTAATTGATTAATTTTTATAACAACTTTCTTTTGCAGAGTAATGTGCCATTTATTTGTGATTGTAAAATCTGGTTTAAATGAAGAGGATACAGAGAGATTGAGAAATATCGTGGATTATTTAGGGGGAAGCTTATCTGAAACTTGGGACAATTCCTGCACACACTTGACAGTAGCTAAAAGTGTTCTATTTACCACAAAAGTAAAATTTTCTATAATTTTGCATAGATCTTTTTAATTACTGAAAATTATAATTTAACAGGATTTTTTCAGAATGCATCCTGTTATTATTTGTATTATTTATAATTCTGGTTTGTAAATTCTTATATCATGTATTTTTTGAGCAATAGAATTTAAAGAATTTTTATAGGCTAAAAAATTTAGTATACAAAAGTATAATTTTATTATTTATACAACTAAATTTGTTGTATAGTTAAAAGGCATACATTTAAAAATATTAATATAAATTAAAAAATATAAAATTAATATTAATATAAATTAAACAAATTTGACATTATTTTTGTTATTTCTAATGATATTATTTTGTAAGTTTTAGTTTTAATTCTATATTATGTGATTTCTATTCAGCAAAAAATTACAAGACTTTTATAACACAAGTTGGGGAACAACAAATTTCCTTATTAATTTATACTTACATTTATATTATGTTTAGTTAGCTTGTGCATTGGCCTCTGCTAAGTCTATCGTCACAATTATGTATTGGGAAGCAGTCAATATAGCTATCAAAGAAGCCAAAGAACTGCCAAAAATTGAAGATTTTCTACCGAGTGTAAAAGAGGATTGGTTGAAAGTTTGTCCGAGATTTTTTCTACCGAATAAAGAACGTAAAACACTATTCAAGGGCCTGTCCTTTGTACATTTTTGTACGAAGCAATATTTCACATATGCGCAGTTAATTGCTGCGGCAGGTAATAAATACTATTAATTTTGAATTTTGCATGCAAAAATAAAATTTTGCATATACATATAAGAAAAAATATATGAACAACATAATATATCGTAATATAACGTGTGTGTTAGACATATCTTAATTTTTTCTATATTTTGTAATAAAATTACGTTTTAAAAAAGTTTTCTTTTTTATCAACTTAATTTTTGATGTTTATACTTTTATTACCATGCTTAATATTTTCTCATTTTTATTTATATATAAACATTTAAAAGTGGAATTATTATCTGTATATTATATATATTTTATATTATTATTTTTATAATTCTTATTTTATATTATTTTATATTATTATATATATTTTAGGTGGCAAGTCATGTGTGTATCCTACAAAGAGACCTTTGACTCCTCGAGATCTCACAGCAAAAAATGCTATTGTTATACAACAGCCTGCTAATGATTCCTCGCAACTAACTCAAGTGTTTGCAGTTGATTACCCAATCATTTGTGAGTATTTGGATATTATTATAAGAAAGAATTGAGACAGAAAATAAAAATCGTGAATAGAATAAAACGTTAAATTAATATACAGGGTGATTTATTTTAATCGCCTCAGGCAAATATTTCGCAAACTATGAGAGATACAAAAAATGTTTTAAACAAAAGTTTTTTTGACTTTGAGAGGGATGTAAGATGGTGTCATTAGTTCGACTTTATATAATCATTTGAAGGTCATGTAAAGATCACTTTCAATTTCTTAAATGGAACCTATTATTTTTTATCGCATATTCTTGTAGCTTATCTCGAGAGCGTTCCAAATCACCATAATGAAATATTTTTCTCTTAAATACTTTTTGAGTTATTAACTCAAAAAGTACTGAAGAGAAAAATACTTTAATATAGTGTCTTGGAATGCTCTCCAGATAAGCTACAAGAATATGTGATGAAAAATAATAAATTTCATTCAGAAATTGAAGGTGACCTTTGCATGATCTTTAAATGATTATACAAGGTCAAATCACACACAATGACACCTTCTTATGTCTCCCTCGAAGTCAAAAAACTTCTGTTTGAAACATTTTTTCGTATCTCTCATAGTTTGCGAAATATTTGTCTGGAACGATTAAAATAAATCATCCTGTATATAATAATAATAATAATAATAATAGTAATAATAATAATTTTTTAATATTACAGATAACAAGTTGCGAGCTATCAAACGTAGACTAGTTTCTGATACAGAAATTCCTCTCGCAATTCTACATTGCACCAAAGAAATGTATTGTAATCCCAAATTCGACTTTGCTACGTTTGTAAAATTAAAGACGCAAATGTTTTCTCCGTCTGACTTAATAATAGCCGATGATACGCAGGACATTGTTGATAATCCTGCTAAAAGGCAAATTGAAAGGGATATTATTCCTGAAACTTGTGATTCTCCAAGTAATAATGTTGTTGCGAAGAAAAGCGAAGAAAGAGATACATATAACGCTAAGAAGAGCGATATTGCAATAAGAGACGAGCAGAATAATAGAGAAAGCAAACGTAAAATAATTCCCGAAACTTGTGATTCCCAAATAAGTTCGCATATTTCGAAAAAAAGTCGTCTTTCTGACGAAAATGAGCAAAGTAATACAACGATTAGTACAGATGACACTGCGATGAAAATTCAAACCGGCGAAAGTAATTTGAAAAATATTAATTGTTTTGATGAAAGCCAAAATAATATTTCTAATAACAATAAGAATAATTTTGCGAGTGATATTGTATGTAAAAAGATCATTAAACAAGCTCAAATCATTCCCGAGAGTTGCTGTTCTTCAGAAGAAAGTGTGAATAATAGTTTTTCTGAAGACAAAAGTAATAATAAGCAAGCTTGCATTATTTTCGACGCTTTAAAATCTAAGGAAGAAAATATTGTAAGCAATCTTGTCGTGGACAAAGAAAAAAATATTAAATTGCAAGAGAAGGAAAATAATTCCATTCTTGGAAGAAATAATAAAAGGAAAAATATGTCGGAAGAAAATAAATACAAACTTCAGCAATTCGAAAATACGTTTATGAACAAAGATAATAGTTTGACTTCTGAGAATAATTGTAAAGAAAATTTAAGCGTTGAAAACGATAATTTAAATGATAATCATGATAAATCTGAAAATACGAGATTGGAAGAATCTAAAAACTTGGAACGTCCACGAATTGTATCGATAGAGAAAATTGATAATAATGAAATGTATATACACCGACAGAAGGAAAAAAGTACATCGGGAAAATATTGCTTTACAGTTGAAGAATCGCAAAATTCATTGAAAGACTCAAAATTAGATTCAGCCGGCAAATCTGAAAGAAATCGGGAAGATCAAAATGTAAAAGAAAATAAAATACAACAGAAGGATAAGAGAAAGGAAAAGCCTCAAAAACCAGTAAGTTTAATCATAATTGAAATAATAATAATAATAATAATAATAATAAAATAATAATTAAAAATTAATAATAATTGAAGGTTAGAATCTTTAAAAATATGTGATAAAATATAATGTTTATAGGTAGCTAATTGGTATGAAAGATATGTAAACAAAGAATTTACGGACGAAATACTGAGAAAAGATACACCATGTGGCAAAAGATTTAGAAAGGTTTGTAAAAATCTTATTTTACAATATACTTAAGATTATAAAATATATTTATATTATTAAATATGTACTAATGCAATATTATTTATGTATATATATATATATATATATATATATATATATTTTGACTTTCTTTATATGCGCGCGCATATATGTATATGTATAGAATTGCTATACAGGATGTTCCATTTTAATCGATCACCTTCCAAAATTTTTCTTTTTTGATTGCGCAACAAAATGTTTCAGACAAAAGTTGTTTGATTTGAAGGGGACAGAAGATGGTTTTACAGACTTTTCTCCAAATAGTGTATTTCAAGGTCATTTGAAGGTCATTTATGTTTTTAAATGGAATCACTATTTTTTTATAAATTAATTGCCTTGAAAAGCGTCCTTTAGAAAAAACTCAATAACGATCATGGTTATACCATCAAAAATAAAAAAACTTTTAGATTTGATCGATTAAAATGGAATACTCTATATACTCCGTTTTGTTAATATATGTATAATATAAAGTAATCTATGTAAGAGGATTTAATAATTTTTAAATTAATTTAGAAGTCCATTATGATTCCTAAGAAGATACTGAAGGCGGACGACTTCGTTTTATGATTCAAGGACGTAATTTTTCACAACGAAAGAATTTAATACTAGAGATATTAAAATAATTGAGGACATTTCTTTAAAAATATTTAAATAATGTATTTTCAAAATTTATATTTGTATTACATTTGGTTTGGTATTACATATTGTTAACATATTATAAATGGCAAAAATGTATCTCTATTAAAATCAGATTATATAAACATTTAAAATGCATAATGCAAATAATATATAAAAATTGAATTTATTACTTTAAAAATAAATTTATATTAAAAAACTCTTTTAATACATTGAATTCGCCAGTGATAATTAAAAATCAAAAATATTTATTCAAAACGACCTAACTGGTCAATATACAAGACGTCTTTGTCAGCACCTCGTGTGCGATCGCGGATTTTAGTCTTTAGTTTTTTTTATGTATAATGTAATTTTATTTAACAGACACTTGATAAGGGCCCGTGACGTAGGGCCGAAAAGTTGTGCGACTTTATCTTGTATATTGGTCAGTTAGGTCGTTTTGAATAAATATTTTTAATTTATATTAAATTTATATTAAGTTAAATTTATATTAGTTTTAAATTTATATTAAGTTCTTTTCTGAAAATAAGTAATATATGTATATAACAACTAACATATATACTTTTGTTCCTCTTTTGTGATATCTTTATATGTAATGCTTAATATAAAAAAAAAATTTAATTTTATAAAAGTCATGTATTAACTTTATAAAAAGTTATGCGAAAGAAGACATTATACTTTGATTCTTGAACCTACAGTTGTTTTAACTTTTGTAAAAATGTATTTTTACATAAAATAATATTTGGTTTTACTGATTAATTATAAATTTTGAAAATAATTTTTGTCTCACTCAACTTCTATTTTTTTTTAACTTAAATTAATTATTGTTACGGGAAATGGCGATAAGCCAATTTAAATATCGAAACCGTATCATCATAAATTCTGTCGTAATAAAATGAAGGCATATGAGCCATAAACCGTTTGTCTTGAATAGAGTATAAAGCACGCCTTGAAATATTTAAATTAAGAAATAGGAGGGAAAATAAAAATAGTATGCAATATATATATATATATATATATATATATATATATATATATATATATATATTGTATATATATAATTTTTTTCGAATAAATTATATTAATAATTAGAAAATATTATGAATTATCACATATCAATTATTAGAATATTTTGTATTAATTTATAAAAGAATTTATAAAGAAATCAAAATATGAAATAAATAATAAACAATTAGAAAATAATTTTATCTTTTATTAAAAAAATTTTCTTTTATTTTTAAGAAATTTTTATTAAGAAAATATTTCAAAACCCAAGTTTGTTATCGTATAAACGTCTTTTACTAAAATAGAATATTCTTAAAATGTTTTGTTAATTCTAAAAATCATTTATTTTTTAAATTATTTACAAAATAGATTATTTACAAAATAAATTAGATAATAAATAAAATTTCCAATTTTGCGTTTGCAAAATTGAGTTGCAATCGATTAATGAGTAATGTTTATTTAGCGTGTTAGATTTTTAAAGTATAGTTTTATTATTCATAAAGTAATTATTTATTAAATTGCTCCAATTGTTTTAATTGTTGCACGTTCTCAATTCGAATTATATTTAAATCATCGAAGAATTAAGCATTGAATTAAATATATTTGAGAGATTCTAAGTATCTGTGTAAAAGAAAAAAATAAAATTATTATTTGTAAAGAGATCGCAAAAACGAAATAATTTATAATTTTGAATTCTCTTGTCTGTGATTTTTTTATTTGAATAAATACACGAAACTTAAATGCGAAAAAATTACACAAAAGTATGTATTTTGAAAATCTATATCTATATCTTATATTTAAAACCTATACCGATGTTTGAAAGCAGTCTCGTCTATATAAAGTTTGATAACTGTTATTTTCGAATGCGACAGTGAATCATGTCATGTAGTCACTAAATGGAGCTTTTGTCACTATTTTCAAAACATCAGCGCAGTGGTAAACAAATCGATGTTTTGCGATTGATCGACACTTGTGGCAAAAATAGAAGTTATTGTTATATAGAAGAAGATAGGAATAAAAAAAGAAAATAAGTAATATTTTAAAATTATTGTGAGACATTGCGATACTAATTATACATTTATACAATTAAGGTGATTCATTGTTTTAATCGTTCCAGACAAATATTTCGAAAAATATATGAAAGGTACGAAAAAACGTTTCATCTAAAAATTTCAATTTCAATTTCTTAACTATAGAGTTAACGAAATTGGAGATGACCTTTACGTGACCTTCAAACAATTATCCAAGGTCAAACTAATGATACCATCTTATATTTCCCTCAAAATCATGAAACTTTTATATGAAACGTTTTTAGTTAACTATACTTAAGAAATTGGAGATGACCTCCACGTGATCTTCAAACGATTATCCAAGATCAAACTAATATGATACCATATTATATCCGTTTAAAGTCATGAAACTATTATATGAAACGTTTTTCATATTTATCGAATCATGTTTTACAATAACTTTGAAATATTTTTTTTAAATTTTTGTATAGTTTATCTCGAGAGCTTTCCAAAACATGGAAATCCCTACTTTTTTAATGCATATCCTTGTAGTATCTCTCAAAAGGTTTTCAAAACACTATATTGATTAATATAATAATAAAATATATTTCTTTTATAAGTACTTCTTGAGTTATAAGATTTAAAGTTCACAATTTTTTAACATAAAATACAAAATATTTTATAAAATATATTCAGTTTTCGACAATCTACCTAATCTTTTTAATTACCTTAATTGGCCTCATTATTCTGTGCATAAAAATATTAATAGGTAAGATTATCGAAAACCAAATGTTTTACAAAATATTTTGCATAACTCAAAAAATACTTAATAGAATAATATTTTATTATAGTGCTTTGGAAAGCTTTCGAGATAAGGTTAAACTAAAATAATGCCATTATATCTTATGTCCCCCTCGATGTTACAAACTTTGATATGAAACGTTTTTCTGTCTTCTATTTTATTCGAAATATTCGGGGCAATTAAAATTAATGAATCACTTCGTACAAAAAATATATATGTGTTATATATATATATATATGAAAAAATTATATTTTTATTTATATGTATTACGTATCTATTTAAAATTTTAATTCTCCAGTATTTTTCAATAATAATCACACAGTATAATTAAAAAAAAATATTAACGTCGAATGACGTCACTAAACGTCACAAAATAACGTTATTTTGACATTCAATGACGTCGGTTAATTATAATTTGCTACTTGGGAAGTTTGTGCATAGTTATTTAGTTTGTTGTTAGAAGTATAAATTCCAACAATTCCGGATCTATAAAATCAAAGTCGACGCTCTATATTTTTCTAATGAAAGAATAACTTGGAAAAGATAATCGAGAGAGTTTTGTAGGGGGGTCGGTGGAAACGAATGTGGTGGAAGAAAGCTTCACTTTGGTTCAGGTTCTTTATTCAGCTGCATCACGTACGATCCGCACGTGAATTCAAGCGATTATGCAAATTTCGCATTAAAATGCATTCTATCAAAATCTCCGACTATTCGGCGAAAGATGACACGAAAGGCGGCGTCGTGACGTTTTTACATTTATGCCTGTGGTTTACTCTCCCATCTCCTAATTCATTGTCTGCAATTGCATCGTTAATGTACATATATGCATCGTGTAGATATATATATATAGTTTTTACTTTTTGCGATGCATTGTAAATCAATCGTATTTGTGCATATCGCCAGATATTTATTACGTTAAATTATGTTATACCAAATTTCTCTCAGATTAGCAAGCGTATGACGTCATTCGACGTCAACATTTTGATGTTTAATGGCATGTCAATATAATTTTTTATAATGTATATAGATATTAAAATACAGGATTGGGTAATAACTAGTTATAATTATATGCATATTTATACATGCCGAAAGAGTTAGATATAATTATATATAAATATGTATAATATCTTATACTTTGTGCCATTTATAATTATACATATTTCTGCACATTTATGTATAGTTCTGTATAATTGTATATAATTCTGCATAAATATATGTATATGAAAAAATTTTTTCCGGGTAGTTAAAAATAAAAAAAATTCAAAAATTAATAACTTTTAACTTAGCTCAGTTAATTTAAAATATATTAATTTTTAACTTTAACTAGTTATTTTTCACCTTAAACTTATTAACTTTTTTCTTAAGTTAAATTTTTTTTAACTTTGAATACCATTATTGATTTTTGATAAGTTGTGTAAACGTATTATTTTTAAATTAAAATATAAATTTTTATGTTTATTTATCATCAATTGTAATTATCAAAAAATATATGTTTTTATATAAAAATCAAAATTTCTTTGTTATTTGTTATTATAAATTTTAAAAGAATTAACAAACAAAATTCTAATGTAATGTAAATAGTGTTTTTAAAAATTAACTTTTGATTTAACTTCAGTTAATTCAATCTTAACTTAACTTTCACCGAGTTAATTTTTTGTTTATGCGAACTTTTAACTTAACTAAATTAATTTTATAAGCAACTAACTTTAACTTAACTTAGTTTTAAAAAATCATTAACTTATCCCACCTTGTTAAAATATAATGTACAAATTATATATTGTTATATTTATTTATACACACACATATAAGTATATGTATGCATTTGTTAAGGTGTCCGAAAAATTTTACAACAGTCAAATATCTCAAAAACAAAAACTTTTTGAAAAAATGTAGTTATAGGACTTTAAGTGACACATTAAATAGTAATATTAGTATGACTATAAAAAAATTATTAAGGCTATATAAAATATAGTTTGAATTTTTTAAATGAAAATCTCTTGCTTTACAAAATACTACAATAAAATATTTTTTTATTCAGTGCTTTTCGATTTATAATGCTTGAAGTTAATAGTATCTTTTTGACATAAACCAAAATATCTAGTAAAATATATTTAATTTTTTATATATAATCTTATCTTAACATTTTTATGCTAAAAATAAATAGACAAATTAATTGATGTAAAGAAAATGCATAATTATTTTGAAGAAAACGTATATACAATTTTCGCAACATATTTTATTCTTAAAAGCAAT